CTCTCTCTCTCTCTCTCTCTCTCTCTCTCTCTCTCTCACACACACACACACACACACACACACACATCCTCAACCTCACCGATCAAACCAAACCAAGCAAAACCCTATTAACCTCTTCATCAATGGCTGAGCAACACCCCCGCCCACAACAAGGCTACCAGACTCAGCCCCAGTACGACCAACAACAGCAGCACCAAGGTTTCCAGTACGACGACCAACAGCAACCAAAAGGCTTCCTTCCTCAAAATGGTCCCTCTGCCAAGCATATTGTAGCAATGCTCGCTCTTGTTCCAATCGGCGGCACTCTGCTCTTCCTTGCTGGGCTCACGCTCGCTGGGACGATCCTTGGGCTCGCTGTTTCTACCCCGCTTTTTGTTATCTTCAGCCCCATTTTGGTCCCGGCTGCTTTGGTCATAGGCCTGTCCGTGGTCGGGATCTTAACCTCGGGGGCTTTTGGGATCACGGCCCTCTCGTCTTTCTCTTGGTTGGCCCATTTTCTGAGTCGGAGTCGGCTGCCGGAGCAGATAGGCAAGAAGGTGCAGGAGACAACGGGGTATTTGGGCCTCAAGGTGCAGGAGATGGCGGACTATTTGGGCCAAAAGATGCAGGAGAGCGGAGGCCAGGTGGGCCACTTGTTGCAGGAGACTGGAGGTCAGGTGGGCCAGAAGACTAGAGAAATGGGGAAAGATATCCAAGATAAGGCCCAGGATGCTGGTAGGACACTGGAAGCTGGTAGGGACCAAGAGGGTGGTAAGACCAAAGCAGGTGGCAGGGGACGTTAAGGTGTTGGTGTTGGTGTTACTGTTAAGACATGAAGATGAACTGGTTCATAGATATATATGATATGTAGGCCTTGGTGGCTAGTAATGTCTCTCTCTCTCTCTCGGGGTCTCTTTGTTTCTCTCTCTGCTTTCTTCTGTGTTACCTTTATAAACGTTTTGAGCAAAAGAAAAAGTAGATGTTACTGTTTGGTCAATGGTAGTTCTACGTTTGTATATGATGTAATAAAATGTTGTGCTATTTTTTTTTGTTCTGTGTTTGTTTTTTTTTCTTTTTCTTTTTCCTTTCAATTTCCAAAAATTCACACAAATTTTGGCATTTAGCAATGCATTTGAGGTCTTCGTTCAATTTCCCCCCGACTTAAGATAAAGACCTTGTAACTCATAGTTTAGGTTAAGAAACACAACACAACAGAGGCAGCTTCAGTCTTCATCATCAGGTTTCAACATCAACCCCTCACAAAATTAAGAAATTTGAGGCTAAACAAGGAGAGAAAATGAAAGAGACAACGGATGTTCACAATCATAAGAGAGCCAGCACATGATCCGCCAATAAAACTCCATCTGGGACCAGCCAGTTTCGTTCTTTTCAGACGGATTAAACAAAGCACAAAGAATAATGACCCTTCGGTTTTTAAAAACGGATTATACAAACCTCATGTGTTCAGACTTTCTCACTCTTCAACTACTTGCAGATTTCATATATCTGTTATATTTTTGTGAATAAAATTTAGCTACATGTACATATCGAACAGACAACAAGACATTGCCAATCCTAACTTAAATACACTTGGATCCATAATGTCATTATAATCTTTGACCCCTCTTGCCCAATTACAAAAATCCAACAACATTATGATTTCTGTTTTTCAATTTTTTCAAAAGCAAAACCGACAAACACATAATGCCAAAAGCAGAAGCCATTCTCGCCCATCTTATTTCCTATGCCAAATGATCATCATTTCACCGTGGAAATGGCTTGTTTAAACCAAAAACACCATCTCCTCTTCTTGGTTCTCTTCACCACTGTCTCCTCCACTCATGTTCTCTCAGACAGTGTTGGCATAAACTCAACCCGTCTGTACCCTTTTGCTTGCTCTGATTCTGATCAAATCCAGAGCTGCAATTCCTACCTATATCACATCTCAAAAGGCCATCAAATAGAGGAAATAGCCACCTTTTACTCTGTCAATTCATCCAGCATCAAGCCTATTGTTCATGGCACCCAACACCAACAAGACTATCTTGTATCCGTGCCTTGCACTTGCAAAGACATCAAAGGCACCAAAACTTACCTCTATGACACCAGTTACCTGGTTAAACAAGGAGACACCCTTGAGAATGTTGTTAGTGAGTTTTACAGTGGGCAGGCAATGATAGTTGGAGCAGAGGAGAAGCCATTTGCTGGTGTTGGCAATATGACAACCATGCACCTTGTTTGTGGGTGTGTGGAGAAATCTTCACAGGAGGTTGTGACATACACAGTTCAAGACCATGACACTTTGATAGGAATTGAACAACTTCTATCTGCATATGAGAGTGAAATTCAGAATCTGAACATAAACTTCACTCAAACCCCAAATTTTATAGATGTTGGTTGGGTTTTGTTTGTGCCAATGGAGCTGAATGGACTTCAACCAAAAAGGAAAGGTAGAGATTTTATTGTACTATTTGCAATTCAAATCATCAATGCAAATTTTCTGAAGTTGAAGCAGTATATAGCTAACCAAATTTCTTGTTCAAACCAGGAAAGAGACTCAGTTTGCCTACAATTATAGGCATAGTGTCAGCCGTTGGTTTTCTATTTGTGGCCGCATTCATCATATTCCTTCTCATCAGATACAGAAAAGGAAAGAACAGAGAAGAAGATCAAAAATCTGTTGTAAACCCAAGTGCCAAGAAAGGTTTCTCACTGAAGCAACAGTTCTTCAAAAAGCAAATGGAAGGTCAGATAAAATCTCAACTTTGATCTTAAACCATTTCAATGCGCTTATATCAGTTTCTAGAAATCCTTACCATCTCAGAAATGTGATGCAACTCTGCTTGATGCAGAAAATTTTGAGAATGAAAGACCAGTTATATATAGCATGGAGCAAATCGAAATGGCTACAAGTAACTTTGATGAAACCAGGAAGATTGGGGAGGGTGGATATGGCAGCGTTTACTTCGGAATATTAGGAGAACTGGTATCATACACAAAACCATCCTTTCATTTTTTTTATGTCAATAAAATACCCAAAAAGGTTTATATTTAATTTAATCTAGAACCATGGATGCCTTCTTTGAAAAGCAGGAAGTTGCAATTAAGAAGATGAGATCTAGCAGAACAAAGGAGTTCTTTGCTGAGCTCAAGGTTTTATGCAAGATACATCACAACAATGTGGTAAGAAGAAAAAAGTTTACAAGAATGCATCACTCTCAATGACCAAATCTTATAAAAAGAAAAAGTATGTGACCAACTCTTATCCTCAGGTGGAGCTGCTGGGATATGCTAGTGGAAGTGACCATCTATGTTTGGTTTATGAGTTTCTACAGAATGGCTCCCTCAATGACCATCTTCATGACCCATTGCTGAGAGGTACGTACCTCCTCATGCCATGGATACCACATCCACATCCCTCTTTATTTGAACATTTAGACAATTGGGTTTGTTTGTTTTTCTTTTAGGTTCTCACACACTAGTGGTTGCCTGCAGGAAACCAACCTCTTTCATGGACAGCCAGAGCACAAATAGCACTGGATACAGCAAGAGGAATTGAATACATTCATGACCACACGAAGGTGCGCTATGTGCACCGGGATATAAAAACCAGTAACATTCTACTTGATCAAGGACTCAGAGCAAAGGTACACTTTCACAATTGCAATGCATATTTTGCATTTTTGCTGTGGTCAATCAAATAAACCATTCATATTTCTTAGGTGATTGCTGTTTACACACACAGGTTGCAGATTTTGGCCTAGCAAGGTTAGTAGAACGGTCAAGTGAAGAAGATATGGTAGCGACACGCGTGGTTGGAACACCCGGTTACATTCCTCCAGAGTAAGTAAAACATTATGCATTGCATTATTAGTTTTCTTGAGTACTTGTCAAGCAACATAAAAGTTGGATTAGTTTTGATTAAGCTTATGAACTTACCATAATCCACTACTTTTTGTTTTCTTCTGCAAGATCTGTTCGTGAGCTACAAATGACATCGAAAACTGATGTTTATGCATTCGGAGTGGTGGTAGCAGAGCTAATAACCGGTCAGCGTGCGATTGTTCGTGACAACAGAGAACCAAAAAGAATGAAGTCACTCAGCTCAGTTGTAAGTCCAATTCTCAATTAAATAACAAACCTGGCTATGTTGCAAGCGACTAAAGTAAGCAACATTATTTCTCTGAATTGTTGTTATACAGCTATATGCAGTGTTCCAAGAAAAAGATCCAGAAGCTGCATTGGAAGCTAAAGTAGATGGTAACATGAAAGGAAGCTACCCTATCGAAGAAGTGTACAAGGTTTGCTCAACTCAAATTTTAGTTTTGGCATGGCATTATGTATATTAGTATTATTATGATATATGGTTAATAATTATTTAGCACTTGGCAGATGGCAGAAATAGCAAGGCGGTGTTTGAGTGAAGATCCAGTAGATAGACCAGAGATGAGAGACATTGTCCAAACGCTCTCCCAAATATTGGTGTGCTCAATAGAATGGGAAGCATCACTTGGAGGGAAGAGCCAAGTCTTCAGTGGGTTAATTATGAGTGGAAGATAAAAAAGAAGAAAAAAAATTGAAGAACAAACAAGATGTGTGAAAATCCCTCATGCTCAACATCCCCAATATCTTTGTACTGATGTATGCAATTATCTTTTTTTTTGGGTCAAAAAACGAGAAATGTACATTCGCCAACAAGCACAGAGAATTTTTGTTAGAGAGTGGTGTGTTATTGCCACCCACTCAAATGCTAACCTCTATTGAGATGAGCGATAATATACTAAACTCACACACACAATATGAATGTTAGGACTCGAATTCAGAACCTTGTCTCGGGGAGCAATTACTCCAAACCACTTCAGTTATAATTTAAACAATAGACATGGCTTTTTATTTTTATTTTTATAATGGTGTTACTTATTCTTATAAAAATAAAAAATGCGCAGAATTTCACAAGTTCTATATAAGCCCCACTAAAAGGAGCCCATAAAATGCAAAATTGGGTAAGAGAAACCAACCCAAGTTTTATTGGGCTCTAAACGTGGTCGTTTAACAGGACTGAAATCTAAAATATGAGTACTGGGCAAGTTTAGCAACCCATTATTTGACGACACTTGCCTCCTCCAGGACAAAATCAATTTCACCTCCAATTCATTGAATTTCATCATCATCAAAAACAGCACAAATTTACCTGAACATTTTTGCCCATTTCATATGGTTTAAGATATAAAAGTATGACATAAAATTCAAAAGCAGAGCGAGAAAAAGGTTTGATCTTTGTGGGGAGGTGACTGCTGGGTCGGATCCACATCTATCGATCTTCAATCCCGATGGCCGGCGCCGCCTCGGCGCTCTTTTTGTTAGACATCAAAGGGCGAGTGTTGATTTGGCGCGACTACCGTGGCGATGTCTCTGCTGCTCAGGCCGAGCGCTTCTTCACCAAGTTCATTGAAAAAGAGGTAATCTTTCTTTCTCATTTTTGCTTGCCAGCCTCAACAGGAAGACCGTAAAGTATATGATAATATATATATATATATATTCAGCTTTGATCACAATGAAGCTTGCATCAATTTCTCAATGAGAACGATCAAGTTTGGAAATTTCTGGGTAAAATTTAAGCTTTGCATTTGTGGGAATTTGATCTTCTTCTTCAGGTCGATCCTTACTCCCAAGATCCAGTGGTTTACGACAATGGAGTCAGCTACATGTTCATACAGCACAACAATGTCTACTTGATGATTGCCTCGAGGCAGAACTGCAATGCTGCTAGCTTGCTGCTCTTTCTGCATCGTGTAATTGATGTACGAACTCATCAACTCTGGCCATTTTTTCCACTTGTATTTGTCTTAAATGGCATAATGGCATTGCCATTCATCATCCATTGTTACTCATGTGAGGTTTTCATACATTTCAATACGTTTTGTTTATGTGTTCAGGTATTTAAGCACTATTTTGAAGAGCTAGAAGAGGAATCACTAAGAGACAACTTTGTCGTAGTGGTAATTGACTTGTAAGGTCCTTTGTAGATAGAACTAGAAACCAAGTTTTGATGGGGTTGTACTGACAATGCTTTGTGATTTCGGCAGTACGAGTTACTCGATGAAATTATGGACTTTGGTTTTCCGCAATTCACTGAAGCAAAGATTCTTAGTGAGTTCATCAAGACTGATGCCTACAGGATGGAGGTGACACAGCGTCCTCCCATGGCTGTCACGAATGCAGTGTCTTGGCGCAGCGAAGGGATACGATACAAGAAGAATGAAGTAGGTTGATCCTGTCTTCATGTTTAATCGGGGATGAATTAAACTACGTGTGAACCATTATTGACTCTGTTCATTTTATATCAGGTCTTTTTGGATGTGGTGGAAAGTGTCAATATACTTGTCAACAGCAATGGACAAATAATACGGTCAGATGTTGTGGGGGCCCTAAAGATGAGAACGTATTTGAGGTGCATAACTTCTCTTCTTCTTTAGTTTAGTATTATGGCAAAAAAAAATTTAGAAAGTAGCAACTGCATTTGTTACGAAGCCAAACTACCCGCCAAATTAAAATTTGTTTGGCCGGTTAATGATTAGGATTTTGAAAATTCAACTCCGGCATGATTATTAGCATGTTCATCTTTGAGTTAGTCACACCTGACACTGATCAACCTACATCCCACCTGATTATAAGGCTTTAGTGATGATAACTTGAGCTTTGGAAAATGAATACAAATTAAGAGTATCCTAAAATTTGTAAATATAATTGGATTTCACCCTTGGATGGTTTGAAGTTTACTCTTTTATTGATAAAAGTAACTTCATGTTAGACACTGGCCTGGTAAACTTGCTTCATTTGTTGTAGTGGTATGCCCGAGTGTAAGCTTGGACTGAATGATCGAGTGCTGCTGGAGGCGCAAGGTCGAACGACAAAAGGGAAAGCCATCGATCTGGATGATATCAAGTTCCATCAGTATGTTGCCTCATATAGCTAATTCAAATCTATGCTTCATATGCTAATAACCCTTTTGATTTACTTTAATTTTTCCCCACCCTGTAGGTGTGTACGTTTGGCTCGATTCGAGAATGACCGAACTATATCCTTCATACCCCCTGATGGAGCATTTGATCTGATGACATACAGACTCAGTACTCAGGTTCATTTTGTTTTATGCACCGTAAATAGTTACTTATGTCACCCATGTTTATATATTCTTGTTTTGTTTATTCTTTGGTAACCAACGGAAGCATAAGTGAGCTCCAACCTTGATTCGCATTTAAATTTGTCTTCTCAATCGTTTCAGGTAAAGCCTCTTATCTGGGTGGAAGCACAGGTTGAAAAGCATTCTAGAAGTCGTATTGAAATCACGGTAAAAGCAAGGAGCCAGTATAAGGAGCGCAGGTAATAGCAGTGATGCATGTTCTGTAGTGTAAAAAGTCAGTTTAATGATTTCTAGAGCTTGCAACAGTTGCCTACTGCAACAGTTTACAACTTGTCACTCGTGAGTTCCATTATCAGAATTTCTTACCGTAAGCTCCGGTTACTTGGTACAGCACGGCTACAAATGTCGAAATTCATTTGCCTGTGCCTGCCGATGCTACAAATCCTAATGTCCGGACATCAATGGGATCTGCTGCATATGCTCCAGAGAGTGATGCTTTAGTCTGGAAAATTAAATCTTTTCCTGGTAATAAGGTAGGAAGTTTTCTCTTGCCATTAAGTATATTATCAATTGCAAAGACCTCGCAAAGATATTTTTGACCTTGTATTAAATTGCACAGGAGTACATGTTGAGGGCTGAGTTTAGGCTTCCTAGTATAACTTCTGAAGAAGCAGTTCCTGAAAGAAAAGCTCCAATTCGTGTGAAGTTTGAAATCCCGTATTTTACCGTCTCCGGGATTCAGGTACGCTACATGCATCTTATTTTCTCAATTGGGCTCATGCTGTGATTGGTTCAACTTCAAACTAATGTGGCTATCGGGTATTTGGATTTTGTAGGTCCGTTACCTAAAAATCATTGAGAAAAGTGGATACCAGGCTCTTCCATGGGTGAGATACATAACAATGGCGGGCGAATATGAACTGAGACTAATGTAAAGGCAACTCACATGTCTTACAGCTTTCAATCAAGTAAATAGAATACATGCTCGGGGAATTTTCTTTCTATACTGCTGCCATTACGAGTAAACTCGTCTCCAGTGATCTTTTGCAATGGCTGCCACACAAGTTTATTCAATCAATTTTTGTGTGTGTTTTACTTTTTCTTTTTGGTTATAATCAACAGCAGGAGATTTTATTTCAGGCCCAAACTTGGTTTGTGAAAGTAGGTTATAGGTAATGGTGAATACCAAGTGTATGGCTCAGTACTTTATTGTTGTCATGCTTGAATTATACATGATAAACACTTTTCTAATTATAAATGAAAATCTTTTTATTTACTTTCATGTGAAGCTGTATGCATCTTCGTATGACTAGTACTGTTGGATATGCATTTGCTGAAATTTCACCATCGCACAAACGTGCATCGTAGTTTATAAGCCAAATTTTTAAGTTGAGTGAGAGAGTCTGCGTTTCAAATTTCAATAGTAAATTAGTAATTGACAAAACCGAATTGATAGAATTGTAGCAGTCAGATTGTACAAATATCCAGGTCAATGCTTTAGCACATCATAACAGTAACAGCTACAGAACTCCCAAGGTACAAGAGGAAATCTCGCGCAGGCTCAAACCCGTTCAGAAAACTGATACTCTATGCAACCACCAGCCCTAAGAAAACATTAAGAGCACACCCTGTGACATGCCTGCTCAAAAATAGAAAGAAAAATATTAGGTTAGCTTCCAAGGAAGAAGAGAATGACCAATCAAAATGCAAAAAGAAAAGGTGTAATTTTGGTGAATCGAAGTGATAACAACTTAAATTCTTTAAAGTTGATACTAGAAACTGCGAGATAATCTTACAACAAGATCGATAGTAATACAAGCATATATGTCAATCAATTTTTCCAATTGGATTGAGAAATAAAATGTCGGGAAAAACTGTAGAGCTAAACAAGCAAAACGCCCCAACTTCCAACTCCTATGTAACCATAAAGCTTAACAAGAATTTTCCAAGAACCCAAAGATTAAATGACTAACGAAGCGAATCCCAAAATTGTTGTGTTTGAATGACTGATGCAACTGCAATTCGATAATGACATAATTTTGGAATTGTATAGCTTCATCATAGAAAGAATTCATAAGGCTGCCTATGGGAAGGCTTGTGACACACTACCGAGATGGAAGACTAATAGACATACCCCAAATATGATTAGTCCTACTGAAAAAGTTAGCCCAAATATTTCAATCAAAAACCTCGGAAACATCACTTATCAAGCAGCCTTAAACTAAATATAGAACTGCTGGTCTAACATTGAACTCAGATAGGATAATTTTTTCAGTAAACCAAAAAAATTGAAGTTCAGATATTGTTCACTTGTCAACCCCTTTATGATATAGTTCTTGCCAAAAGCGCCATTTCAGTGTCAACCATCAGAACATTGAAAAACAATAAAATCTACCAGTTTCACTCAATAATGTTAGAAACATGGTAAAGAAGGAGGTTTTCATACAAGATACCTTCCTGCATATCTACAACGAGCTTTTGGTTTAAAATTTTAAGTTTTAATGATTGGGGTTGTAGAGGAAGAGATCTCCAACAAAACCAAGGATATACAGATTCTATTTCAATTAGAGAAATGGCAAAACACCATTGAATTATAAGCACCATTGCCGCAAACATATGACTAGGCAAAGCATTCAGAATTTACTCAAACAAATACGGTAAAGAAAAACATACCAATCACTGCTGCTGCTGATTTTGTTGCTGGTTCTGAGGGTTGGGTGGAGGTGGCATTCCAGGACGAGGGGGTCCAAACACAGGAACTTGACCACCAGGTGGAGGAGGCATCCCAGGACGATGCGGTGGTGGACCAGGCATGCCGGGTCGAGGCGGAGGAGGTGGGCCCCTCATCATCTGCCCAGGCGGCGGAGGACCCATTGGCCTCTGCCCAAACTGCATCTGAGGTGGGCCCTGGAATTGCGGAGGTGGGCCACCAGGCCTCGGAAACTGTGGAGGCGGCACACCAGGCGGTGGACCCCGCGCCATCTGTGGTGGGCCCTGACCGGGATATCCAGGCATCTGCCCAGGCGGACGAATCACCGGAGCAGCCGGGTACGACATAGGCGGCGCAGAGAGGTTCGGAACAGGAGGGCGTGAAATCTGCGGCTGCATCATGCCGGGGGCAGGCCCACCCACGCCTCGAGCCGGGCCGGAGAGACCGGGCTGTGCCTGGGCCAGTGGAGCAGTGGGGATACCTCGACCGGCGGCCCGGCCCAAACCGGGGCCAGCCAAAGCGGCGGCGCTGGCGGCCTTGGCACGTGACTCTTCCTGAGGAGGTGGGCCCTCGACGGTCATGGAGATCACCTCTTCGCCGCGGAGGAGGACGAGGCCTAGGGTTCGACGGTCGTCGCGTTCCTCGTTGCTCTTCTTGCCCTTCAATGGCGGGAGCTTGCGAAACTCCTCGCAGTCGCCGAGGACGAGGTTCATGTGGCGATCGAAGGCCATGAACTTGCCGACGAGCTGCCGACCGTCTTGGATCGTCACTCGCATTCGGTAGTTTATGAATTGCAGCATCTTGGAGCTCTTCGACATCGACATTGTGATGGGCTCTGCAGTCCTCCGCGCCCAAGGCTTGGGGGTTTTTGGACACTGAAGAAGAGACGATGGAAAACCCTAGGGTTTTGGATTGACGCAAATCAAATTCGGGATTGTGTAAATTCTGTTCTATTTTTTCACATAAAAATAAAAATATATAAAAAATAAAACTAAAACTAAATAGATGTGCGTATATTATATTGGGCTCGAGAATGATTTGGGCTAGATGACTCTTTGTGGGCCCAATATGAGTTTGGGGGATGATTTGGGAATATAAAGTGAAACAAGTGAAAAGCCGTTTTTCTACATGAGTTTTATGGCTAAAATGGTATATACAATATCTGGGCCCACAAAGCGTATTTCTACATGAAATGGCATGAAAACATGTATTTCTTAAATTAGCTAGAATATTCAGTCACATGAAATGGCATGAAAAGAAATACATGTTTCATAAGCCGTTTCAATTAGCTTTTAATTTCTGTAACGTTTACTCTTCCTAATTTCAGGAGTAATCGATGAACAAATTATCTATACACCTGTGGTTTCTACAATTCCACATATAAACCATTGAACCATTTGTTTGTAGTTGAACAAATGTTTAATTCGACCATCAATTTTGGTGCCCAATTTTAACTTCTCATTGGTTTCTTCGCTACACTTTAACTATGTTATACGTTTTATTTATGATCTAACTTTACCCTCCAAGTTTCTTACTATTGTTTTTTGTTTTCAAAAATGTACTTATAAGTTTGAATCTCGGATAAAATTCCATAAAATCATAAGACCTGTGTCATATACCGTTCAATTATCTTTTAATTTTTTTAATTAATATATGCATTTTCTTGACACATTTACATAAAATTACGGAATGATTCTTCTTCAGTTCAACAAATTTTAATATTCTCATCGGTTGTATTCCTCAACTTTAATTTCACCGTACTTTTATATTTATCATTTTTATATTTAAATTAGGTTGAAATATTCGGTCACGTGAAATGTCATGAAAAGAAATACACGTTGCAAAGCCGTTTCGATTAGCTTTTAATTTTTCTAAATTTATTGCGCCATCTCCTGTGTGATTTCAGATGTAACTGACGATCGATTTGTCTATACATCAACAATTTCTGCAATTTCACATAAAAACGGGGGAAGGATTTGTCTTTAGTTGAACAAACTTTGATTCCACCATTGTTTCTATGGGCCAAGTTTTCTATAAATACCTCTCTAACCTCATGTTCAAATACATGAAGTGACTCGTATACTGATCATATTTTCTTCCTTTGGGCATGGTTACCACTTCAGCACTTGAGAGTCAGTTTTGGGGTTTTAGTGGGAGGAAGATGAGGGGAAAACAAAAAGAGAAAGGAAAATTTGAGAGAGTCAGCCGAAGAAACTTATTCGGTTGTAGAAATGTGTGGCATGGGAGAAATGGGGGGAAGGGGAATGCTCTGCCATTGCAGAGCATATAAGGAGCTGTGACCTCCTCCATTGGACGCAAGGTAAACATTTATTTCCTTCTTAGATGTGTATTTTTCTGATGAAATGCAAGTTGGTCTTTTTAGTTTGCTAGAGAAATAAGCACATCCTCATGAGTTTTCGTTGTGCAGTGAGAAAGAAAGTGGGATGGTTGGATTTGGAGTCTCGTAAATTTCATTGAAAAATTTATATCATATAAAGAAGATGAATACAAACTACGCTACTTTCCATTACTACTCCTACATATGAACCACTACATGACACTCCCCCTCTCCTTCCTCAGCTGCAGGTCCACAGCCAGCTCGGGCCCTAAGATTTAATCCGAGAAGGAAGGATCGATCCGCTGTGTCATGTCTGGATCGAGGCCAGTCGCTTCAAAAACAAGTTGAAGTTATGGTCCCGATCCAACATGCTCACACGGACGTACTTTGGACCAACTCCAAAGCTCCTCCCTCCTCGGGTTAAAATCTTATGACCTCTCAGTAAGCTTTCGCAATCTTCCACACTATCGTCTTCACATTTGAGCCATGCGAAAGCTGCAACAGAGGTAAACAGCAATGTCAATTTCAACTGCTTCAAATGCGTTACATTAGATAGTTATATAAATGGCAACTCTTAATTAATGGTTCGGTGAATTTTTGCTTACCAGGTTGAGGCTGCGAGACCTGGTTGAGGAACTGGCAGAACCCTTGCTGGAAGTCAGGCAGACTAAAAAATCTGCCCCCGTTCACCGCCTCTCTAAGAAGTTGCCACCTCTCTGCCATGAGGTGATAGCTGATCTTAAAGAAGGATTCACTGGACTCCGGCCTGCCAGGGTTTTGGGAGGAGTTGGTCATCACCTCCAAAATCCTTGCAGCTCGGAGCTGCGAATCCCGGGACACGCCAATGGTGCTGAGCTCTATGAACTTAATCATCTTTTTGGCAACTTCTGGATCTTTGACAAGAGCCCAGCTGCAACACGGAAGGAGAAAGTATCAAATGAGTGCTCAAAACAAAAGACCAGAACATGTAAAAGAAATTATCAAAGCTTGGAGAGCTCACCCAATGCGTGTCCCGGCATGCCCGGTGGCTTTCGAGACGGTGAACAGAGTCAGATCATGGTCAGCTGCCGACGAAATGGGGGTATACTGTGGCCAGTAGTAGGCCAAGTCATGAACCAATATACCTCCAGTTCGGTTGACCATGGAGTGCCTGACAAATCCATCAGGGTTGTTGGGGGAGGTCACTAGCTCTATGTACGGCCCCTCTTTGTCGAAGCTCCGGGCATCCCCTGCCCATTTGTACAAGCCCGACTTGAGGTAGTCAGTCATAGAGGGGTAAGACTGCAAAGAGATCATCGAAACAAAAACCCACTGTTAATCAAAGTATCTCAGAAAAGTTTACAAAGCTAGCAGCAAATGAAAATTCAATGTATTTTTTACTTATTTGATCTGTGACATATATCACGCGTGATAACTTTTCCACATAGCATTTCTGTAATTAATCGGAATAGCAAAATAATGCTATTCCAGATATAAATTTTTCTAGTCCAATTATATCACGCGTGATAACTTTTCCACATAGCATTTCTGTAATTAATCGGAATAGCAAAATAATGCTATTCCAGATATAAATTTTTCTAGTCCAATTATATCACGCGTGATAACTTTTCCACATAGCATTTCTGTAATTAATCGGAATAGCAAAATAATGCTATTCCAGATATAAATTTTTCTAGTCCAATTAGGGCACATGCATGAACAGGGAAGGGGCAAAAGATGAAGTGGGAGAAAAAAATAATTGAGATTCCAAATTAAAGTTTCAGAGTCAAGGCAGGCGAATTAAATGACATATTATTAAATGATTTTACCCTTGTTCTTCTGGGAAAAAGGATACTGTTTCACACAAATATCTTTACTTATGGCAAGCGAATTTTTTAATTGAAGTGGGCGCCATTAACAAAAAGCAAGTCCACCATGCAAAGTGATCACATTAAAAAAAGTTAATTATGATAATAATAAAAACACTGATGCATTTGACTTTGCTTGGATTTGCTGGCAAGTAACAAGTACATTAGTGACATTCTTGAACAAATAAACAAATCAAACTTGAAACAGAATCAAACACAAATTTTTTTAAAATAAAATAAAACTCACAGAGTAGAATGGAGCTGCAGAAATCACACTTATGGGCTCAGATGCATCTTTTGGAGCCAGAGCATAGAGGGCAGCTAAGAAGAGCTGTGATGAGCCTGTGCCAACCACAATTTGACGACCTTCTGTGACAGCATTGCCCACCAGATTGTGCAGCCTCACAACCTGCTTGGCAAACTCTGGCTCCAAAAACCAGCAAGGGTTTTTCACATCTGAGAAATAGCTCATTGACTGCCATCCAGGGATCACAAGTGTGGTCTTTTCACCCATCTGCTGCCAGTAACTTTCATACATAGTTGGGTCTCCACTGCATTGAAAAAAACAAACAAATTACATGTTAAACACATGGTTGAAAGAAGATGTATGATTCTTTGAAAGCTTTCAAAAGGGTAAAAAAAATACTAAAGCAATTCTGAGAAAAAAGTGAAGGTGAAATGAAAAAAAATGAAAACTGTCACAGCAAGGAGATTCTAAAATGCATGGAGCCATGGAGGTAGGTATGGAGAAGGAAGAAAATGGTGGGGGGTGGGGGTGGGGCCTCATCCATCAACAGATCAATGATTAGATGGACACATATCTAACATCAGATCAGTTGCCTGAGTATGTGTCAATTGGTAGAAAGAAACCTAAGAATGTGAGATGGGTTAACCCTTCAGAGGACCCCACAAGAGTAGTAGATCCGGACAATCTCGACATGGGACCCTGATAAAAAAAGGCCATAAAAAGCTAATTTACAACTTGGGCGGCCAAAAGGTTAAAAGATCTGGGACAACCCACGGCGCACTTTAGTCTTTTTACACTTCCCCAAAGGCCAAAAAAGAAGAAAAAAACATGCACATAGGGGTCTCCAACTTTAGCAACTTTACTGTAAATCTAATTTAATTTAATTTAATTTTCTTTTTTAGCAGTTTGAGGTCCACAAATTTGTGTGACATAATGATGTTGGTCAAATGTCAAATAGCACCACCCACGGTGCACGTTAGACTGACTTGCTTGAGAACAGGAACCAAACAAAAAAACAGTCATCAAGTACAAATGGGTTGCCCAACTCTAACATGCACCATGGAAAATCTCAACCAAAAACAAGATGGCCTCCTCTGCCTTTGGGGCCTGCCTTTCTCTGTCCTAGCTAGTAGCTACCGCCATAGCCAGCACAGTAAACAGTGAACAAATTAAGCTGAAAATGCAGAAAGAAAAGCAAGAAATGTTTTAGTGAAAGAAAAAAAAGAAAAAAAAGAAAAAAAAACTCTTCTCCTCTTTAGAGGTCTTTTTTAACAAATATCACTGACGTCAAGTAGGTTTCTGACGCTTTAGATTTGATATGCCAGCACTAATTGCCTGACACTTCCCCACGCCATGCCCCTTTTTTTTTTGCATTTCTAAAAGGACAATTTTACCCCTGATTTTGAACTATTCACTTTGACCAAAACTTGGAATGTGCTCAAAGAAAATTTTAATGGCTCAACATTATAACCCAAATAAAACAGCCTGAAATCTGACAACTCAATGGAGGTTAGTGAAACTTGAAGCAATCTCAG